GTGTCCAAAAGGAGTGTGGTGGGTTGTGTCGTCCTCCGTGGAATCAAGAAAATTGAATTCGGTAGGGGTGACAGGGTGAGAATAAGGGTAGGTATTTTCGTCAAAAATAACATGACGAGATATGATGATTTTGTGAGTAAGAAGATCAAGGCATCGGTATCCCCGTTGGTTGGACGGCTACCCTAAGAAGACACATCGGGCAGAGCGAGGTGCGAGTTTATGAGGGGCGGTGGCGGATATATTGGGATAACAGAGACAACCAAAGACACGGAGGTGAGAGTAGGTGGGTTTGGAGCCATAAAGGACTTCATGGGGAGTGTGATTTTGGAGTGTGGTGGTGGGTAAGAGGTTGAAAAGATGAGAGGCCATGTGTAGAGCCTCAACCCAGAAAGTGGGTGGGAGTTGGGCCTGAAAAAGAAGAGATCGCACAGTGTTATTTATGGTGCGAATGGTCCGTTCAGCACGACCATTTTGTTGGCTAGTGTGTGGACACGAGAAGCGGAAGATTATACCCAAGGATTCAAAAATGTTACGAAGGGGCATATTCCTGTATTCAGTTCCATTATCACACTGAACAGCCTTAATAGTAGCATTAAACTGATTTTTCACAAAGGCAATAAATGTGTGAAGATGAAAACATGCATCAGATTTATGTTTAAGAGGAAACACCCACAAAAATGAGAATAATCATCCAAGAGTACCATGTAATGCTTAAACCCAGTAACACTAGTAACAGGCTCAGTATGTAAAAGCTAAAAGGGAAAAGTAGAAATATGACTCGATGACTCAAATGGAAGACGAACATGTTTCCCCAACTGACAAGCATGACAAAGAGAGTGTTGTAAATGTTTAAAAGACATGGAGGAAAGACTAGGGATTCCACAAAGGACGGCAAGGCTAGGGTGGCCAAGATGACGGTGCCAGAGCTCCGAGCTACCGGTGACAACGTTGACTTGGGCTTGGGCTTGGGCGGTGGACTGGCTCATGGGGTAGAGAGGACCGGCATTATTGGACCGATGAATAACGGTTCCCGTCAGCATATCCTTCACAGAAAAACCAGTGGAGTCAAATTCAATAGAACAATTATTGTCACGGGTGAACTGACGAACAGAAATAAGGTTGTGGATAATGTGGGGGGAGACAAGAATATTTTGTAAGTTAAGGGGAGGGGATGTGGGAAATTTATAGTTACCTATAGCCGTAGTGCGAACTTTAGAACCATTACCTACAGTGGTATATGATGAAGAATTTAATGAATGAGTACGAACATGAGAAAGAGTACCTGGGTCCGAGGCGATGTGGTGAGTGGCGCCGGTGTCCATATACCAATTTGGATCACGGANGGGGGGTGTGGACACCGGTGAGATGGCTTATGGGTGAGGGTGGGGGTGTCGGGTGGGAGGGGGAAGGGCCTGTCGGGTAGGGGCTGGGGTAGGGGGAGGTAAGGCCGTGGGGTGGGTGAGGGGTAGAGATGTAGGCTTGTGGGTGTTGGGGGTACGGGTAGGGGTTTGGCCGCGGGCGAAGAAGGCCCGGGTTAGGGTTTGGGTGGGTGAATTGTCTGGAGGGCTGCCCGAGGGTGTTCCGTGCATTCGACCCGGAGCTACGACCGCGACCACGACCACGAGACGAACCGCCACGATGTCGGGAGTACTGCTGATGCTGCCCGAAGCCTCCCCCGCCGCTGGAATCCGACCGCCCACCACCTGCGCTGCCTTGCCGCCGCGGGCCTCCAATGCCGGCGTAGAACACCGTGCCGCCATCCCCCGTGACGCTCCCGATGCCCAGTTCAGCTCGTTGTTGTTCAATTAAGAGAAGGGCCGAGCGTGTTTGGAGAAAGGTCGGGGGAGGCGTTTAGTATTGAAGAAATGACGTTTGTGCACGAAGATCATCCGGGAGGCCACGCAAGACTTGAAGGACAAGTTGTTGTTCGGAGACGGTGGCATCTACCTCATCCAACCAATCCGCAAGATTCCTTCGGGTTTGACAATAAGCAGCGAGGGAGAGAGACCCCTTCGTGGTGGTGCGGAATTGGTGTTCAAGTTGCATCGCCCAGGCCGGCTTGTTGTCGTGGAAGATGTTATAGATGGCTTTCCAAAGCTCGGATGCGGAATTGGTTGTGGAGAGAACAAGATCGCAAATTTCATCATTAACCGTTGAGAGAATCCAACCTTGTATGAGAGCATCAAGTTGGAACCATTCCAAGTCGTCGGCGCCGGAAGGAGATGACTTGCCGGTGAGGAAGTCGCCCAAGGAGAACCTTCGAATCAGGAGAAGGAAGAGCCAGCTCCACTTTTTATAGTTAGGCTCAGAGAAGCTTAGGAGAATCGGCACGTGGAGTTTCACGTTAGAGATCGTCGTGAACGCCAAGTGTGGAGTTGGGGAAGAGGACGTCGCGCCGGTAGCCGAGATCTTCTCGGACATGATGACCGGTGAGAGGAGGGGGTTGCTCGCCGAGGGAAGGAAGGTCACCGGGGAGGAACAGCGCCTGCAGCACTGCCGTGGAAGGAGGGAAGCGCGGCGGCTGTCTGCTGGTCGGCCGAGAGAGGAGGGGCGACGGCGCGGCTAGGGTTATGCCTGCGCTAGGTCGGACGAGAGACGGAGAGCAACGAGAGGCTCTGATACCATGAAGAATTGTTATTTTCTATTGAGAAATAACGAAGGGCGAAGCCTCGTATAAATAGTTACAGAAGATTCCTAACTACGGAAGGGAACCTATACATGTAAACTACCATAAATACAATGATCACATAATTAATATTAAATATATACATAACATATTTAACATATATGTTGCATGTCAAACACCAACATGATTGCCCTTGAGTTTTATCAATTATCACTTCATATGAGTACATGATAGAAAATTATTTTCTTAAAAACTTGAACGAAAAAATGTAATCAAATTCTCAAAATCTAAGAGATTCGAAATTTATTATTTCAACTGTAGATTTTTGAAAAAAATCAATTGTAAATTAAAGAGAGCATATCGACTTGCATTGCAGAATCAAGTTAAAAAATTAAACTACCAAAGAAGTTATTCTTTTGGGCATTTACAAAAGATTTATCATTGCAAAATGTGAGCAACTTGTAAACAAAGTGATTTTATTTACTACGGAGTATCTTGTAAGCAAACCAAAATGGAAAAAAAAGAACGAATTCTACATTGTAATAAACTAAATAACACTCAAAAATGAGAAAAAAAATATCTATGAGTAAAAGAATTCTACAGAGTATCATTTTAATGAATTTGAGTAAAACAACATACGACGTTGTAAATGTAATCAATAAAAAAGTATACCAAATAATTTCCAAACACTCTAGACCACCAGTTTGATGCCATATTCCACCCAAACCTTTGCCCATGGCTTTCCATATTAGTTGGACCAAATACAACAAAATGATAAAATTGCACACCATTCACTTCCTCTTTTCGAAATTATAGTTCCCTATTTGTCTACTTTGTGTTAAAGATCTCCCTTGCTACTCTTTCTCCTCTGCGCAGATTTGAGATGTGAATCATCAAAAGATGTAATGCTCCACCTCTCACATGCAAATAACCAATTAGGGCTAGTATTTGATATAATTGAGAAGAAAAAAACAAATGTAACAATGTCATGAGATTGGTGAGTGAAGTATTTGTAGGGCAAAATAGGTTGTTAAGGAGTGATTTGCTCGGTAGGACTACAGTAGCCGAGGAGCAATCATCCCAAGAGATACACGTAAACAACAATTATTACAAATTTATATTCCTAGTATTAACATAACATAGCATAAATTAATTATTCAAAACTCGCTACAAAATATAAAGCGACAATCTAAGATTTGTTAAAAATTTCCACAATCTCCTCACCTAAAAATTTGTAAAACATCTACCACGTAAAATAAATATATACATTAAACATGGAACGACCCTTAGAGTTGATTTATCAGTTAAATGATCAAAAATATTAACAATTTTTTATTGAAAACAACATCAACATTATAGTAGTATTGATTTAAAAGCAATTCATCTTTATATCATTAAAATGGCTAATAACCTATGATTACAAACCCTTTTAAAGACACATTCAAACGGCCCTTAATTGACGTATCAGTACAATTATGAAGCAAATTTCTTTAAAAAGGGAATTAGAGTAATGATTGAATATTATGTTGGTCTTATGGGGGACCATCGATCACCCTTAGGGATTCGCTACTGTGCTTAGCATGGTATCGGGTATTGACAGCCCAACCTGACGAGGTACATGAGTCGTGTATTTTGCGAAGCCCCTCCTGTCCATCCACCGCTCAGTAGTGGGGCTCCGCACTGCCGTAGTGAACTATAGGGGGTGCCCTATAGGAATCTACCTCGGCTTGGGGCTACAGAGAGATGTGGTTAAATACAAAGTGTCCACCTTCCTATCACCAATTGGTTGTAGGAAGCATTTGGCACCTCTTTAACTTAAAAACTCTGTGGTTAAGCGTGCTGGAACGGTAGTAGTCCTAAGATGGGTGACCCACTGGGAAGTTCTAGAAAATGATCCTACATATTATGATATTTTATTCTTCATAAATTTTTAAGCTCTGAGAATAAGTTAACCAAGCCAAACAAATTTACCACCATAACTCTAGGATCTTTAAAAAATCAAAGATACCTGGAAACTATATAATTCCATCATTGACACTGCATAGACCTGCAACTCCTCCAAAAAATGATGTTAATTACATTGCATGATCATATAATTATCAATTATCATATACCTAATAAGATTAAGCTCAAATATATGAATAGTTTGAATGTTGCAACAAACCTCACAAACCGCCGTTTAAAGATTGTTCAATGATATATTAACGTGCAGGAACTAAAAGAAAAATAAATAAATATATAAAAAATCTGCACTGACTAATCTAGATTCGTATGTAATTTAAGTTGTAAGAAGTCGAAAAGGTAAGGCAGAAAACACTTCTAGATTACTTACGAATCATAGTTGAAAGCACCTGCAAGGTAAAATCTTTGATAAACAAAGGTTCAATTGCACACAATCACCATAACATTGTACAACTCACTCCAAACACAAACATTTTGCAATGGGAAAGAGGGTAATTTATCAAAATCTGAGTTTTTATTCAAATAGATGGAGTTTTTCATTCCGTTGGGATTTGGACTTATCAGAAGCTGCACATTCATGATAGAGAACTTTAATATTTTAATCAACAAATAATGCATCAACGAAATGTAATACGAATATCAATAATAAATTACAGTGTTTAAGAGTGACCCAATCAGAGCCCTTTTCTATAGTTCACTCAAACATATTTGTGAGTTCATTGAGGAGTGGATTTGGCTGCCCAAGTTGTCCTTTGATAAAGTTCAATGAATACATTTAAAAAATCAACAATTTGGAAGGGGAAAGAAGGGTAATTAAACAAAATTAACCACAAAGTTGAAGTTAAACACAAAATTATTATATATTAGTTAATCAAAATTATGACAATGGTATAAAACTTGAAAATGAAAATTTCATAAATAGAACATTAAAAGTTGCAAATTAATACCTTGACAATTCATCCTTAGTTTTTATTTGTCCCACAAAGGTAAGCCGTCAAGTACACAGCGAGAGTCACCGTCATCCAAGAGGTAGGCCAAAATCATCTCATCCAGAGCTCCCGGTTTATACCCGATTCCCATCCAAATCGCTCGTCTTGAACATTTATCACTCAAAAGCCAAAGACCCTGCCATCTTCATCTGGACCTAGGGGTAAAACCCTAAGATATCCCCCAAATCAAACTTTTTCAATTGGGTCGGAGAGGGGAGCACATGAATGTAGATGAAAGCTCTAGATTCATTCGAGGAGAGGTCTAAAGAAGCGCTAGGGTTTCTGTTGAAGAAGATGGGATGTGAAAGAAAAGTGAGTGGATGATAAAAACGTACCTGAGGCAGTCAATTTCCCGAGCAATCATAATTCAAGGTCGCCGGCGATGATTGTATTCAGCAGCAACTCTTGATTACGATGCATCCTCCCTCGCTATCCCCTCTATTACTGTCGTCTCCCTTCCAAGGCTCATGGCGTGATTGATGGTGAAGAAAAATCAGGCACGATTGAGACTTGAAAGCGTATGTGTGGGCAATTGACTGGGAAATGTTGGGTCAATTGCTTAGGAAGGATTCTTCATTATATTAGAAAATAATTTATTCTCAATGTTGTTTTAATTTATCATTCAAAAGAACAATTCAAAGGAATCACCACACCCGCTAAACAATAGTCATACAAAGTTCTTACCTTGACTGTTGCACCCATCCTCATCACTGTCGAGTATGGCCTTTTTTCATGGGCAAGTGAAAGAGCACTTTTTATCCAACGGGGTGTGGTTCAATCATCCAAAGAGAACATGTGATTTAATTTGACTTGATTCACTAAAGTAGACAATTTGCATTTTTTAATTTATTAATCAATATAAACATGTTTTCATTGAAAGAGGACCATATGAAAATCTTTCATCCAAAAACAATGTCCTGAATCTTTGCGAACAACAATTTGCAAATAAAACACTGTCCTCAGATTTCCACATCGTTGACTTACTCTCTTCTTTCACTAAATGTGTTCCTTGAAAGAAATCAGAAAAGGGATGAAAAAAACAGAAAGAAGTGTAAGAACTAAAAGATGTTCTACATAAGCCCTTACAGTTCTTAATGTTGTCCCTCATGATCAAAAGATGTTAGAATCAGACTCATGATGTTGGGAAGGGGCCTGGTATTTGATGAATCACCTGCCAAAATTAAAAATTAAATAATTGTTCATGCTCCTGAATTAGAAAATTAGAAATTTTCTTTGAGGACTTTTGTTGAACACCTTGAGTGCATACTTTTGTGATAGGATCTCGGATTGATTCAGACACAGAACCATTCAAAGTACCAAGGGCAGTTGGAATTATATTGTGAACCTGCTCCTACAACAATATGTTGTTTGCATAAGATCTAGAAAAGAGAAGCAAAATGGAGACATCTCTCTCTATCTCTGGCATATCACAAAACTATAGCATAAGACAATGAAGATTAGCATGGCATGTGCAAGTATAACATACACAAATTGAAAAATGGTCTTTTTTTTTACTGATTTTTCTATGCATTTCTACTGTTTTTTGGGTTTCAACCTACAGATTTTGGATATTTGATTTCATTTAATAATATGCTAATTTTAAAAAAACAATATTCTTTGTGATTAAAAATCAAGAAAAACCTAAGATGCCATAAATGGATTGATTACTGTATACTTCAAGAAATGGATCTAAACAAACCTTAAAATTATTTTGAGATCAAGCTACAAATTGATGAAATTAACATGAAATTGATATGGAGATATAAAGGGGAATAGATGGATTGAAACCTTACTTATGAAAAGAATATATCAAAAAATTGATGAAATTAAGAATATATCAAGAAATTGATGAAATCTGGATGTACTGTACCCGTTAGGTCAAAGTCGAGGAAGACGATGAACAATACTCCTGCAAGAAAGCCTCCATCTTCTCCTTCTTTCTCAAGTTGCAATGTTCCGATCGATTAAAAACTCCACATACGCTGGCACGCTGCGATTAAAAAGTCGTGTTTTAGTGGGTGGTTGAGACTTTGGGCTGCAGTTTTTAACACGGAATATTTTACAGAAACCGACGTCGTATTGGTCATCGCACAACTGAGCGGGACATTTTCCTGCTGCTATTCTAAATAGGAGGATTTCTATGTGAAATTTAGTTTTTGTTTTCGGTCGATTTTTTGTTTTTGATAAGAAAACTAATCTGAAGGAATTGTCGATGATTTTATTTTATTTTATTTATAACACAAACGCTCTTCTTATTGTTCTACTTTACAATAGAAATGGAAGTTGTATATTCAAACAAATATTAATCTACTTGACTAAACTCATGACTATAGAAAAGTGACCCCAATTCTATTTTTGAGTTTAAATTGAGAAAATAAAGTAAAAGTAAAAAATGTTTTTCTGTTTGTGTTTTGCTCTACGAGCAGTTTTGGAGATGGACCAAAATAGGAGTAAAAGAGATATCATATCTAAAAATAGGAGTTGAAACTTAAACTCCCCTAAATAGGAGTAAATGTAGGTGCATATCATTTGGTACTCTATAGTACTAACCCCATCCACGACAATGAACCCTTTGGGGCAGTGCACCTCAAAAGCCCCTTCCTCTTCTTCACCCTCACCCACAACATGTCCCTGCACGATGTGACCTCCCATCCTAGTGCTCGGCGTCAAAGCCCTCTCCAAATTGACTTAATATATAATCCCTCCATCCTTAAAATGTTTGTATCTTAAACTCCTCTTACTAAAGATGTTCTAACCAAACTTGACTTAATATATAATCCCTCTGTCCTAAAATATTCTTCTCACTAACTTTTCAAACGGTCAAACTTTACTTACTTTCTTTACCTTTTTTCATTAGGTATTTGATAAAATAATATAGTCTTGTCACCACTTGTTTTGTAGAGCTTTTGATGTAGTTTATATATATATATATATATATATATATATATATATATAGGGGGCGGTTCAGGTGAGAATGCACCTTGGTGAAAGAAATAAGAATAAAATCTAGCCTTTGGATCTGATGCATCGTGCGGCTCAGATTGCATCCTGCACCCTTTAAGCATGCCGGCGACCTCCTCAGGTGGTAACTCCGGCCATCCTCATCATGCCGGCCATCCTTCCACTAAAACTTCAACAGCCACAACTTCAGCAGCAAACAATCCTCACACTAAGAAGCACACCGAAGCAAGGAATCCCTGGTCCAAGCAGCCCCCCTCCACACAAGCAAGCAACAACCTGCCACAAAGGAAAAGCTACCCTGCAGCTATTATTGCTTCTTCACAAGAGGTACCAATTCCCACCATCCCCATCAAACCTCTTGAAAAACTCAAAGGACTGCCTTGTGTGTCCTTCTCTGATGAAGAAGTGAACCTACTGGCCTCAAGATTTTCTAAGGCACTGGTAGGATCTTTCTTCTTTGGAAGACCAAGTCTAGATTATGTGAGACATAATTTAGAGAGAATTGGCTTTTCAGCTTTTTCTGTTACTCTCATTGATTCTACACACATCCTTCTTAACTTCTCCTCCCAAGAG